GCAGAGATGCCAACTTGCTCCGGACAGCAAATATATATTTTAAAGTGGTAGTTTATCAATTGTGATTCTTGGTTTAATAAATTCAATTTAGTAGATTTTTATCCACCACTATTTCTAAATAATTCATAGACTTATATAATCCACCACTTTACATTTCTTATGTCATGCTATACCTTTTAAAAAGCAATAAAAATTGTCAAATATTTGTCAAATTTACATTGTAGTTATTTAGCGGTTTTTTTAATTATTTAAGCGTGTCCGGAGCAGTTGGCATCTCTGCTACGATGCATTTTTAACTCTTTCATACCTGTTTTCAAGAATGCTTATTGTTTTATAATTCTAATGTTCAAATTTATTTTAGGTTTGTTAGAGGTAAGACAATTTCATTATTTCAAACCTGCCAACTTCACTGGATTTTATTCGGAAATTTTTCCTAAAAGTTTAATGTGGTTACAGAGTATCTGTTAATGTGGTTACAGAGTATCTGTACAGAGTATTCTGTTCTAGTATTAGATTCTTACCACCACAATAATATTTGTAAGATATATATCGAATCTCATAAAAGCAAACTTAGTTAAAAAGCCAGAGGTGCGTTTCATACCTGCCAACTTTCACTCTTTCCGAGAATGGATTTTCAGAGTGGTGGTAAAACAATAAACGAAAAACAATCTGACTCAAAAATAAATTTATATTCTGATTCTGTTGAAATTCGCTTGCCCATGGATTATTATGCTTTTACATATTTATTGTAATTATTTATATGTAGTGGTGGTCAAACTCATTTATAATTATCATTATAATTCAAAAAGTTAATTGGAATAACATGAGTATCGCTACCACTTTAAATATGAAAATAAAATCTTCCGGAAAATCCGGAAGAGTTGGCAGGCATGGCGTTCTACGCACTAAAAGGATTTTTAAATAAAAATTCAAAGCTAAACCTGGCAAATAAAGGAACGATATACCTACAAGTCATTCGACCAACTCTTACCTACGCCCTAACCACTATCAGTGATAATTTAAAGAAAAAATTGTTATACACAGAAGGCAAATTTTTGAGATACATGACTGGTGCCCCAAGAGCTATCAGCAATAAATAGGCTGCTAAGGAAGGATCTAGACATAGAAGAAATTAACTGCTTCATTGCCAAACTCAACAGTAAATTCTATAGCGAAGCTAGAAACTGTACGGCCACGAATTTCAATCATCTGCTAGACATCAGCTTAATAGACGACAACATAGAATATAGCCCAGTAACCGCATTCCTCATGTCAGATTGTATCATATCAAAATATTACAAATGATAGTACCACTGTTTTTTAACTCTTATATACTATTGACCCTGTGGATCTCCCTCGCTAATTTTGTACCAGTATAAGCTTATTCCTACATGACTTCTGAGCATAGAACAAACCAGTATAAGATGAATCAGTTGGTGGCGCTACGCGCCAAATACCGAGGCACCCGACATATCCAGCATCCAGCTTCCAAACTTGGTTAGAAAGAAAAGTTTTTATTAAAAAAACTGATAATAAAGGTTTTGAATTACGAAAAATAAAGAAAATGGGGATAATCATAGATTTATATGCCTTAATTTCACGTCATTTTTAGGAAATATATTAGTAAGTTGTTACACATACAAAAGATATCCATAAATTTGCGCAAGATTTAACATAAATAAAAGACGCTTTTTTTTTTAAATAAGTATATTGTTTATTGAAACATGAAATAATTCTTACTGTTATGGATGAAATGGCAGGTCGGGCATATGACCTCCGCAGTTTTGCTGGCACTTGTACACTTTTTTGTTGTAACTTTTCAAGACCGTCGTATACTAAACGAAGCTGAATTTCATTGATGCAGCGTTGAGTCTCCTCTTTCAATACGTAAAGGCATACCTGCCAACTTTTACGCATTTAGCGTAAAATTTTATTTCTATATTTAAAGTGGTAGTAAAATGTATGCTTTCTAAATATTCCTTGCAATATAGAAACTTAATTTATAACCTTTTTGATCCACCACTATTTTTAAAAAAAATTAGGCACATATATCAATATGTAATACTGCTGTTGAAATCTTTTACAAATCACGTAATTCTAACTCAATTCAATGCTAAAATGTCAATTGTATTTGTATATATCTTGATTCTATTCATATCTATATCACAACTTATGACTGCATCAAATTTAAACTCCATTCAATGCTAAAATGTCAATTGTACTTGTTTATATTTTAAATTAATTCACTTTTAAAACACAACTTATGATTGCATCAAATTAATCCCATTCAATACTTCAATATCAATTGTGCTTTTTATATTCATGAAAATTTCTGATTATTTTATAAATCATGACTCATATTAAATATCAATTCATGTTTAATTTATCAAGCAAATTTGCTTGATCTTCTGTTCTGCTACCTTAATGCTGCATAATTCAAAATGTTTTTAATTCAACTTGTAAATACTTCATGATGGATGGGTTAGGGGCCGCTGCGCGGCCCAGGCACCCAATTTTGGATTAATAAAGTAAAGTAAAGCTGTTGAAATCTTCATAAGCTTGTTCAAAATAAAGCATATTTTTTTGTCTATAATTGCAAATTATATTCCATTTGACTACCACTGGCGAAAATCATTCTTGAAAGGATTAAAAGTTGGCAGGTATGTAAAGGATATAAGATAGTGTGCATACACCTTTGACTTCAAGTAACAAATTAGAAAAAAAATCTAAAGGTGTTAACTCGCGTGCTATAGAGGGGGATTGTGAGTTCTAGAGAGGACAATTCAAATTAAAGAGTAATCGACCAGGAATAAAAAATAGCTCGTGTTTACAAAACTTTTTAAACTGTTTATGAATGTGACAAAATTAATCTAATTAATTTCTTAAATGTTTTGAAATTTATAGTTAGTTTTATTGATTTACAGTTCTTGTTTTTTTCTTAATAAAATTGTTGATTTCATTAAAATTTCTGACAGCTAAAAAAGGCGTATTTGTTTATTGTTATGATTAATATAAATCTCATAAAATTTGATATATTACATTAAAATTGATAAAAACTTAACCTCTCAATTCGGGTTTTAAGTGAAAATTTTTTATTGTATGAGGATGAAGAAATCCTCTTAAAAAGCAAGCCTCCCAACTACCTCGCCTTTGTGCAAAATATTTTATAAAGTGTTAGAGATTTGAAATCCAACACCAAAATTTTCAGAAAATTTGCTAACATTTTAATAGCCTCACCAAGTTGTTTATTGCAATTAAAAACATTTGCAAGCTTGTTTGCTCAATATAGGCTTATAAATCTTTGTCAAAGAGATGGACAGCACGACGATACATCCAGGATGACAGCGGGATTCGAACCCGCTACCTCCACGCTATGCATATTGCTTGGCGAGTGACACCGCTCGGCCAAGAGGATTTGAAACGAAATGGCGTTTTTTATGAACTTTTGAATAATTTACAAATAGTGTTGTTTAAAGTAAGCTTAAATGAATAAAAAACAGTACATTAAAGCATAAACATAGCTACCAATGGAACAAAGTTTTACAAAAAAAGTTGAACATTGACAGCACTGAAAAGGGTATCTAATATGCAAAAACATTATTTCATAAGCATTAATAAGTTTAAACAAGACTGCATTACTATTTCCTTTAAGTACTTTTTAATGTAACAATTCCCTTCTTCCTTTGAGGGTATCTTGAAATATAGTTTAAAATGGTAGTAAACTATTGCAAAACATTTTTGAACAAATAGAAAATTCATCTTACTTAAATCAGGGTACATAAGCATCATGAAATAATTGAAAGGTGGTAATAACATTAATATAATTCTTTTATATTATTATGTTTGTAGATACCAGAATTTTTTATTATCACTAAGTAAATTTAACACGTTCACGCCGGCTACTCACAGGTCTGAAAGTGGGACGGAAAATATAAGATACTGGTAGAAGAATTATTTCAATATTAGATAATATTCCGGAGAAGTTAATCTATTCTCAACAATAACAATTCTTTGGCAGGAAATTCTTCACGGCGCAGAAGCAATTCAATATAAAAATTTCATCCGTTAAAAACAATTGGTAGTTATGGATTTTTATAATTCCAGGAAAAAAACTAAAAAATGAAATTTATTTGTTACCAGTTTTTTACTCCGGTGCGCCACCGGTGGCCCGCGCCGGTGTGAACGTGATATACATAAGGTATAGAATTTATATTATTTAGATATAGAATTTTATCGTGATGTGTAATATTTTGGTGACTAATTTGATGTCTGTTGTTAATTTTGAAAGGGGCGTGCGAATCCTGGGGTAAAACATTTGCACTCCTGCGAACACTTCCAGTTTTTTCGGAAGATTTTATATTAACACGTTCACGCCGGGGTGACCCACCGGTGGGTCACGGTAGATTGTCTCATTGGGCGGCGCACCGGTGTAAAAACTGGTAACAAATAAATTTCATTTTTTAGTTTTTTTTTTCCCGGAATTAATAAGAATCCATAACTACCAATTGTTTTTAACGGATGCAATTTTTATATTGAATTGTTTCTTCGCCGTGAATAGTTTCCTTGCAGTGAATTGTTATTTTTGAGAATAGATTAACTCCTCCCGTATATGATCTAGTATTTAAATAGTTCTTCTACCAGTATTTTCTCTTTTCCATCCCACTTTCAGGCACAACACCCGCCGTGAACGTGTTAACGAGTAACCAATCTTAATTTAATTTGCTTTTCTCTACCACTTACAAAAAAAAAACTTCTTTGAAAAGCCTGAAATTTGACACGTAAGAAAAATTTACAAATTTGACCTTTTACCTAAATGTTGTTTTTATTAATATATAATGGTGGCCAAACTTCTTTTTAATTTTTAATTTGTTTAAATATTATTATGTTCCCTCTAATATTATATTATTTATTATATCTAATCATTAAGGCCCGGATTTTGATGACATTTGCATTTTTGGACATTTTTTGTCCTTTAGAGCATTTTTTGAGATTTATGGGGCATTTTCTTTAAAATTTTGGGGCGTATTTTGCATTTTAAAGCATTTTTTAAATTTTTTGTTAAATTTTTCTAATTTTTATTATTTTTTATAATTTTTTATTATTACACTGGCTTCCAAACAATGAAGAAAATTTCTAGGATATTAACAGGTGAAGCAACATCTTTTCAAATTGAAGAAGAATTGTCAGTAAGTGTGACCGTCCTTTTCAAGTACGCACCAATAACATCAGTAGACGTTGAAAGAAGCTTCTCCTGGTATAAAAATTTGCTTTCAGACAAGAGACGCTCGTTTACATTTCAAAATATTAAAAAAAAAATTAATAATCCACTGTAATTCTGATATTTAGTAATATTATGAGATGGAAGTTGTTATATTCATTTAAGTTTCTATACAAAATGAAAATGTTTTGGAGTCAATATATTTTCCTTTTTTTTTTTTATTTTAGGATATAAAACATATTTTTCAAACTTTAATGAACGTAGAACAAGTATTGCATTGCTTTATATTTTTTGAAACGACTCATAATAATTTTAAAGAGTAAAACATGGTTTTAGTTCAATATTTTTACTTCTATTTAAGTCACGTCATAAAGCATTTTTAGCGCAATTTTCGCATTTTAAGGGCATTTTCTGCACTTTTAAGGGCATTTTTTGCAGTTCATAAGGGCATGTTTTGCACTTTTTAGGGGCATTAATTGAGATATTTTAGGTCATCAAAATCCGGGCTCTACTAATCATATTATATTATTTATTAGCATTAATTTTACACCTGCTACAACAAGGAAGAATATTTTCTGAAATTCCGTAGTTTATAGTTTTTTAGTAACTCATGCGCTCCTACTGACTAAGGAAATTCAATTCTTTCATAAGTAAGATGTAAGTAACTAAAAAATGTATCTTTACAATAGTCAGGGTTTTCCCGGGCCTTGAAAGTATTAAAAAGCGGTAACAAAAATAAAACAAATTTCGATATTTTAATTTCTGTGTAACCAACACTAAAAATTGGTTTTCCAAAGAAAGTGTATATGCATGAAAGTTCCAGCTTCTAAGCCACATACCGATAAAGTGGTATATTAAAATAAGAAATATTTTCTAGTATTACAGCGATGCCAACTTGCTCCAGACAGCAAATATATATTTTAAAGTGGAAGTTTATCAATTGTGATTCTTGGTTTAATAAATTAAATTTAGTAGACTTTTATCCACCACTATTTCTAATTAATTCGTAGGCTTTCATAATTCACCACTTTCTTAATACTTACGTCATGCTATACCTTTTAAAAAGCAAGCAAAAATAGTCAAATATTTGCAAGACTTACTTTGAAATTATTTACCGTTTTTTTGGTGTGTCCGGAGCAGTTGGCATCTCTGGTATTAACCTAAATTTGCAACCTAAAACTTTTCAATCACAGCGGGAACCCTGAGTAGTAGTCTTAAATCAATTGAGAGAATCTAATGAAAATATTGATTACGGCGTTTTTGCATAAATCCAAATCAATTAATAAAATCCGCTTTTATTAAAACTTATCTATTTAGTTTTCTATTTTAAATTTATCTTTAGAAAGCTTTAAATTTAAAATTCTTGAATTTTCTAGAGACTTGTGACGGGAGTAAGTATAAATTTCATGCATTGATTCATCTTTTGCGTAAGTAATACAATTGGACACAAATGAAATTTGAAGTATAAATATTTCAAAAAGAAATTTTTGGATTACATTTTTATTCTGGGTGAAAGTTATTACTGTAGTCTTTTTTTGCTGTGGTATACATGCAATTGTTGGGTAAGAACATATTTTAATTTATTTTAGCTGCAGTAATATTTTGATAAGCAAAAATTTAAAGGTCTTTAAAAAAAATTTAAGAGAGTTTACTATTTCCTGAATTAGGTCCCAGCTTCTAAATTGATAACCGCTTGTCCAAAAAATCCCAAATACTAAATTTGCCTTATTTGTGACCTATTTTGTCCTTTTGAATAATAAACGGGACAAAAAAATCATTTTTTAAAATTCGTAGCCAAAGGGTTAATTTTGTTTTGCATAAGGTTGGTGGGTTTACTTTTGAGATATGGGACCAGAGAGATCCCATAATTACTTCTCGAGTTGTGAGTAAAAGAGAATTTCATCATTTGAACGATATTTTTGTTTTTAACGTTTTAATTCAGAATCAGAAATTCTAACCTGCTTTTCGAACAGGATCGTTTTCAATACTAATTTAGGTGAATATCACAAATAAAGAGGATCCCAAACTGATTGACACGGTCCCAAAGTTTAGAGTTGAAGCAAGAAAGAAAACGATGCCAAGGCCTAAACTTTCCGAGGCTGAAAAAGCCAGAACCAAAGAACGTAGACAGGAATACCTAAAGCGTTATACGCAAACGGAAAAACGAAAGGATTCTGTTCGCAAACGCAAGCATGAAGCCCGTTCCTCACAAAAGTGGTTGACAGAATTGAACCCTACAGAAGAGCGAATGGTGGCTCTCTGAACTCCGTTCATGCAAATACAAGAACTGGGTGTTAATCACCAGTTATGGACAAAGGATCCATTGTCAACGTACCCAATAAACTTGCACAAGACCGTAGACTGCCTTCCACGCAATATAAATGATTCATTCACTATTCATGTAAAATTGGGAAAAAAAAGCCTAGCTCTCAAATCCCATTTCATGTATGAACTTGTGAATCCGAAACGGGTGTATGACGTAGCTTACAATAATCTCCTTCAAACACCATTGTACCAATCCAAAAATGTTAATATTGATCTCGATTGACTGTTTAGTGTCTGTTCAATCATCAAAAGAATTTTCACAGAATGTGTCATCTGTATTCAAATATGTCAGCGAAATTATGTATCGAGCAATTCAGGATTAACAGTTAAAGATATCCAAGATGAAAACACAATAAAGCTGCTTTTCCAAAAAAAAAAAAATAGACAACAACCATTTTGCCAATGAATGACCTGC